GGGGGGGGGGGGGGGGGGGGGGGGGGGGGCACATGCGGAAGGCCTGCCGCGCGTTTCAAGGGCCTCCGAGCGCTCCGGGTAAGCGCGGGAAAAGGCGCGGCATGGGCGCCCTCCTCCCGCCCAGGGGGGCGCCCGGTTGGAGGTCGACATCGCAGTGTGTATCCCAGGCTCAGGTGCCTTTCCTCAGGGCCAGGGCTGCGCCACCCCGAAAGGGCGGCCCCCGCCCCCTCGGCACGGGCTCGCCCGAGTGAGGGCCTCGGTTGGGGGTATAGCCACTCGACCCGCCAGCCACTTGGCCCCATGCCCTGGGCCGTGGGGCGAGGGCGTCTCCGGGCGCCGAGGGAGCGCCGCAAGCTTGTGGGTTGAAAGGGTCCGCTCTCCGGGCGGTTGTTCTTCGATTTTCTTCATTCCCCCCCCCGGCGGCGCGGGTCTCGAAAATGTGCAGCTGCACCCTTCCTCGTCCATTCCTCCCCCGGCGCCGGTGTGTGTCAAGCGACTGTTTGTTCAGCGCGGCGCGTCTATTTGTGCCTGGCGTCGAGGGGGCGCGCGCGTGCCGGTGGGGTGGGGGGGGGGGGGGGGGCTGACCAGTCGTCAGAGGCTCGCCAAGGAGAGGGGGGCGGAGACCTCTCCAGGAATTTTGGTTCTCGGTGTCTCCCAAGCCGGGGAGTTTGCTTGGAGGAGCTTCGCCCGGGCGCCTCGACAAGCCGCGGTCGCGCATGAGCCTAATCAGGTGGGGGGGGGGGGGGGGGGCGGGGGGGCGGGGGGGGCGGGGGGGGGGCGGGGGGGGGGGGGGGGGGGACACGAGGCGGATGTGCGAGTCGGTCAGGGAATTGGGAGATAAAAACAACCCGCCCTGGCGCGCGCGCGGACGAGCACACCCACAAGGGGGCCCAGCTGAATATCCCCGTGCACCCTGATTCCGGCCTGGAGATTCAAAAATGAAAAATGAGCCTCCGACCTGGGCGCCAACGGCGGATTGCAGGTCACCCGGAACCGGGGGCGGGGGGGGGGGGGACTACTCCTGTCCCCCCTTCGGTGAGGTCCACGGGGCGCAGTTGCCCCGGCGGTGGGGGCTTAGTGCCCTGCTGCCCCTGCATGCATGCGCGTGCATGTGGTGCTTGTAATGCCCAAGGAGGGGGGGGGGG